TATGATGATGATGATGATGATGACGATGATGATGATGATGCTGATGCTGATGCTGCTGATGATGATGCTGATGACGACGATGATGATGATTGTGATGAATATTAAGCTGAAGATGCGGATGATGATGATGATGATGATGATGATGATGATGGTGGTGATGGTGATGGTGATGGTGATGGTGATGGTGATGGTGATGGTGATGGTGATGATGATGATGATGATGATGATGATGATGATGATGATGATGCTGATGATGGCCTGCTGCTGCTGATGCCACTGCTGCTGCTGATCATGATACTGCTGGCGTTGATGATGATGATGACGACGATGACGATGACGGCGATGATGACGATGATGACGATGCTGATGCTGCTGATGATACTGATGATGATGCTGATGATGATGATGATGATGACGATGATGCTGCTGCTGCTGCTGATGATGATGATGATGATGATGATGATGATGATGACGATGATGTTGTGGTTGCTGATGATGGTGATGGCGATGACGACGTGGGTGGCGACGACTACGACTGCGAACAGGACGAAGATAAAGAGGGATGGTTGGAGCGAGGGAGGAAACAGCGGGGAGGAGGGATGAGGGAGAAAGGAGGGGTGTTGAACGAGGAGGGTGGAGGGAGGAGGATGGGGGGTAGGGAAGATCGAGGAGACAGAGGAGAGGAGGGAGAAAGGCTGGCTGGGGTGCTGATGATTCGTGGCGCCTCCTATTTGGTGTGGCCATGCGTGACTAGTGCTTTCTTCTGGTTCTATTGCAACGACTCGTTCCGAGCACTGCCCAGTTTTGAAACGCGTCAGCCCCTCTGGACAAGCAATGCAACCAGTTTTTTCAGTTCCCTGCCCGTCCCCTCTCCGCCAGACCCCTGGCCTCAACGTTGAGTCGGCCTCGGCCGACGGCGGACAAATCTGATCGCGAGGCGCCCCGCGTGAGCACTGAAATTGAGGGGCGCGGGGAGACGGTCCGCCCGCGAGAGTTGCACCACAGTGGGGGCCCATGCCAAGACACCCTGCTTGCCTCCAGGGTGCCCCGGGTTTCTCGGGTTTGCCATGGAAGGCGTGGCTTTCCCACGCCAAGAATCAGTGGACGTCCTGGGGTCTCGGGGCTGGGTATCTTGTGGAAGGTTTATTGCGGTCGGGCCCCTACTGCATCTACCCGGGTGTCATGGCCCCCCCTTCCTCTTTCAGCCCGTCCTCCTCCTCCTCCTCTTCCTCCTCCTCCTCTCCTCCTCCTCCTCCTCCTCCTCCTCCTCCTCCTCCTCCTCATCCCCCTCCTTTTCTTTCTCCTCCCCTCCCTCCTCCCCTCCTCCTCCTGCCTCCTCCTCCCCCCTCCTCCCCTCTTTATCTTCCTCCTCCTCCTCCTCCTCCTCCTCCTCCTCCTCCTCTTCCTCCTCCTCCTCCTATCAGGGTTGGGTATCTTGTGGAAGGTCTCACGTGGTCGGGCCCCTGCTGCAGTGCAGGATGAGAACAACGTCGCTCGGGAGCTGCCGCGGCGCCCTATATGCGTCCCCCGGGCCCGCCGGCTCCCAGAGATTCCCGAGCTGTCCCCCCTGCGAATTCGTCCCCGTCCTGCCTGCGTCTTAGCTCACGCATCCTCCTCCTCCTGATCCTCCTCCTCCTCCTCCTCCTCCTCCTTGTCCTCCTCCTCCTCCTCCCTCCTCCTCGTCCTCCTCCTCCTCCTAGAAAAACTCGTCCTCGTCGTCCTCTTTTCCTCCCCTCCTCCGCCTCCTCGTCCTCGTCGGTCCTCCTCCTCCCCCTCCTCCTCCTTCCCCCTCCTCTCTCCTCCTCCTCCTCCTCCTCCTCCTCCTCCTCCTGCTCCTCCTCCTCCTGTCCTACTCCTCCTCCTGCCTTCCTACCTCCTCCTCCTCCTCCTCCTCCTCCTCCTCACTCCTCTTTCCTCCTCCTCCTCCGCCTCCTCCTCCTCCTCCTCCTCCTCCTCCTCCTCCTCCTCCTCCTCCGCCTCCTCCTCCTCCTCCTCCTCCTCCTCCTCCTCCTCCTCCCACCCCCTCTTCATCCTCCTCCTCCTCCTCCTCCTCCTTCTCCTCCCCCTCCTCCTCCCTCCTCCTCCTCCTCCTCCTCCCCTCCTCCTCCTCCTCTCCTCCTCCTCCTCCTCCTCCTCCTCCCCTCCTCCCCCCCTTCCTCCTCCTCCTCCTCCTCCTCCTCCTCCTCCTCGTTCTCGTCGTCCTCCTCCTCCTTCCCTCCTCCTCCTTCCCTCCTCCTCCTCCTTCTCCTCCTTCTTCTCCTCCTCCTCCTCCTCCTCCTCCTCCTCCTCCTCCTCCTTCTCCTGGATAGAAAGCCACCGACGCGCAGGATGACTGTCGAATGCTCCCGCTCTCTCTCTCTCGCTCTCTCTCTTTCCCGTCCGCTCTTTCCCGTTCCCCTCTCCCAGTGAGTACTGGAGACAAAGAGAGGCCGCAGCTCTCGAGGCAGCATCCTCTACTTTGTGATCGCGGACCTCTCCAACATCAACCCGATGTACCAGT